ATTTTCAAAAACATACATAAAATCAAAGTGTTCCAATTTTTGCAAATTAGTCTATACTTGTGTGCAACACATAGTAAAGTTAGACAAATAATTGGAACAAGAGCATATAATGTAGATAAGAATCACATCATGATTGGTAGAGGCTGATCTTTGATCGGGCGAGTGGGGTGCTCAATTCATGACCTTCCTCTCTCGTACCTAAGTTCCAGAGTTGAGGCAATCTTGGTGATGACGGACACGTGGCCTTTGGCACGAGTCATGGGTTTCCTAAATTTTCCAAAAATATTTAGGTGACGACTCTATATCTGGCAAAGTAGTCCATTTTTGGCATTTTGATTCAAAATTAATTTTCCAAAAGAATTGGCAGATTTGGACTCATTTGTGTTTATCTATTTCACATTGCACCTGTGGAATCAGATTCAGAACCACGGGGGTCCGAACTATAAGGTTAGTTGTATTCGAAAGGATCAAGAAAAGTCAAGCTACAATGGGTTGTGGTAAATCAAGAGGAAAAGATTATTTCGAACCTAGATGAAGCTGAAGGAGAAGCATTGGTAAGTACTCAGATGCAAGACCCCTTGGAAGAAGTTAATCTAGGGGAAGCTTCAATACAACAACCTACCTGCATAAGTGCTTAGTTGGACCCCATTGCCAAGGACCAATTATTGACTATCCTGAAATAGTATAAGGACTATTTTGCTTGGTCATACAATGATCTACCTGGATTGGATAGGTCATTGGTAGAGCATAGACTTCCAATTAGAACAAACTTTAAGCCATATAAGCAAAGACCTAGGTAAATGAGTCTTGAAGTGATTCAGAAGGTAAAAAGGGAGATTGCTAAGCTTCTTAAAGCAGGTTTTATTAGAACAACCAAATATGTTAAGTGACTATAAAATATTGTGCCAGTGATCAAGAAGAATGGCAAACTAAGGGTATGCATTGACTTTCGAAACCTGAATTTGGCATCCCCAAAGGATGAGCACCCTATGCCAATAGTTGATCTGTTGGTGGACAATTCAACAGGACATAAAGTTTTGTCCATGATGGATGGACATTCTAGCTATAATCAGATATACATAGCTGATGAGGATGTCCACAAGACACCTGGAAACATAGGAACCTTCGAATGGGTTAAGATGCCATTTGGACCAAAGAATGCTGGAGCAACATATCAGAAGGCAATGAACACTATCTTCTATGATCTGATTGGAGGATATTTGGAATGCTATATTGATGATGTGGTTGTAAAATCTTAGTCCATGGAAGGGCATTTAGTCCATCTGACAGCAAGCTAAAGCTCAATCCACTCAAGTGTGCTTTTGGTGTATTATCTGGAAACTTCCTGGGGTATGTGGAACACAAGAAAGGAATACAAATTGATTAGAACAAAGCCAAAGCCATCATTAAGGCTAAGCCTCCAACAAGTAAGAATGAATTGCGAAAATTTCTTAGCCAAATTAACTTTCTTTGAAGGTTTATTTCTAATACTGCTGGGAAAACTAAAGTTTTTTCTTCTTTGTTAAAGTTAAAAGATGAAGAAGAGTTCACATGGACAACAAAGCATCAAACTACTTTCGAAAGGATAAATGCCTATTTAGCCAAACCTCTAGTATTGATGCCACCAAGGAAAGACAAACATTGAGGTTATAAATTGCTACAGCTAAAAAATCAATGTGAGTTTTCTTGGCTCAAGACAATGAAGAAGGTAAGGAGCAAGAAATCTATTACTTTAGTAGGTTTTTAAACTCTTGTGAATGTAAATACTCAGCTGTATAAAAGCTGTTTTTAGCCTTGTACTTTGCAGCAATAAAATTAAGATATTATCTTTTGCTAACTGTTGTCTTGGTAATTGCAACCGCATATTTGGTTAAATATATGTTATCCAGACCTATATTAAGAGGAATAATTGGCAAACAAATTTTAGCTTCGTCAGAATTCCACTTAGAATATGTCTCCCAAAAGGAAGTAAAAGATCAGGTGTTGGCCAACTTCTTAACTGATCATCTATGTCAAACAGAAAGTCAAGAAATAGTGGATCTTGACATAGCTGATTTAGAACCATGACAGATGTGTTCAATGGGTCAAAAGCTAATGGTCTAGTTGGGATTGGTATTGTAATCAAATGACCTCAAGGGACAGAAACTAGGCATGGTTTCAAAATTGATGAAACCACTTGTTCCAATAATCATGCTGAGTACGAAGCTTCGGTTATGGGACTTGAAATACTTATTGGTTTACAGGCTCATATAGTTGACATATTTAGAGATTCTCAATTGGTAATTAATCAAGTAAAAGGAGTCTTTAAATGTCAAGTGTAAGCCTATTACCATACTATGTTGTTTCTGTATATTTGCTCTACCAATTCCAAGTGCAAGATGTAACTTACATCCCAAGATTCATGAATCACAAGGCCAATGATGTGGCTCAGGCGGCTTCGAACTTCAAAAGAAGGAATAATACTCAAAATAGATATAAGTCAAGAAACATATTAGAAGCTAATACCACCTTTAGCAAGACGAGGTATACTGGTAGAGGCTAATCAAAGTGACTTAGAAGAACAAGATTGGAGACATCCAATCATTAAGTATTTAACTGGCCCTTCTTCGAAGGCCAGTAGAAAGCTTAAACTGCAGTCAATGCAATTCATAGTATATGAGAGTGCTTTTTATAAAAGAGGAGCAAATGGTCTTCTGTTGGAATGCCTAGGACCAAAAAAAGCATTGACTGCCATGGTTGAGGTGCATGAAGGTATTTGTGGAGCTCATCAGCTTGGTGTTAAGATGAGATGGTTGCTTCGAAGGCATTTGTATTATTGGCCAACCATTCTTAAGGATTGCCTAGAGTATGCAAAGGGTTACCAAGCATGTTAGAGGCATGGCATGATAAGGCATGTTTCAGTAGTGAAGCCTTGGCCATTTAGAGGATAGGCAATGGACATGATAGAAAAAATTTAACCACCTTCTTCGAAGCAACATTGCTTCATTCTAGTAGCCATAGATTACTTTACCAAGTGGGTTGAAGCTAAACCTTATAAGACTATGGATCAAACAGAGGTGATTGACTTTATTAAGGAGTTAATTTATAGATTTGGTATTCCACAGACCATAACTATGGAAAATGGGACTATGTTTGATAGAAAGCTAGTAAAAGCTTTTGCAATGGAATATGGAATTTTCCTTGTCAATTCCACCCCATATTATGCACAAGAACATGGTTAGGCAAAGTCATCTAACAAATCCTTGAAAAATGGGATACAGAAAGTTGTGGAAGACAATCCTAGAGATTGACACAACTTGTTGTTAGATGTTCTGTGGGCTTATAGAACCTCCCAAAGATCAAGTACATGAATTACTCCTTACACCTTAGTATATGGGCATGATGCAGTACTTCATGTGGAAATCAATATTAAGTCCTTGAGGGTAAAATGCCAAGACCATCTAAGTGCTGATCAATATCATCAGAGCATGCATCTAGAGTTAGAAGGTGTGGATGAAGCCAGAATTTTGGCATTAAACAATATCCTTTTATAAAAGAGAAAAGGCAACCAAAAGTTATACTAAAAGGGTTCAACACATCAGCTTTGATGATGGAGACTTGGTTTAGAAAACAATACTTCCTATAGGAATTAAAAGCCAAAAGTTTGGCAAATGGTCACCTAATTGGGAGGGACCATTCCAAGTCCATAGAGTCTTTCCTACAAGAGCCTACCATTTGAGAAATTTAAATGGATATGTGTATCCCAAGAAGATTAATGGCAAATATTTGAAACCTTATTACCCAACCATATGGGAGACACAATAAGTCTAAATGCTATATGGAAACATCAAGTAAAGACAATAAAACTTGTGTTAAATAATAATGTTTCATTTCATAAAATTTAAGTACATTATGCCACAAATTGGCCCAAAATTCATTACAATGTTTCAACTATTCCTATACAATAAGCTCTCTGTTCTGGAGTGTTGGGAATAGTTGTGTGGTAGTATTCATCTCCTGCTTATGGCTTTATAGCCCTTGGTGTGAAGTGTGCAACCTTTCTACGTTCTGCACCAAAGCTAGGTTAACTGCTGCTTGATCCTTCTCTAATTCTATCTTCCTATGTAAGAATTGAGCTTAAAGTTGTGAGGCAGAGGAGTGTTGTCCCTTTTGCACTGAAACTTCAGAATGAATGTGGGAAACAAACTCTTTATCCTTTAAGAGCTCCTTCTCTACAGCCTTAGCCATTTGGCAGATGTTGACATAAAAGTCAATGGTTGCTGCTGCCTGGGTTAGATGGCCTTTGAAGGCAACATTAGATTGTTCGAAGATCTGGCAGCACTTGAAAAATCCATCCTTGATAGTTGGTTTCTGTAAAGCCTCGAATGGAATTCTTGAGAAGGTCCTCATTAACTCTAAGCAAGTGCCCAAATCTGCCCGAGGAAGGGAGGTGGACTCAGCAGCAGCAGAGCATTTTATTATCTCTAGTAAATAGTCAACTAAGTCTAGTGGCTCAGTATCACTGCCGGTTAGAAGAGCCGGTGTAGATGTATCAAATAAGCTCGCTTGTTGGGCTTCGAAAATGTCCATCTCCTCTTCTGAAAAGGGTATTGCAGATGGGCCACTTATGGAAAGAAGTGTTGGAAGGATTGGAGTAGGAGAAATGGAGGAAGACGTCTCAGTAAAATCCATCGTCCTGGCCACCAGTAAGTCTAAGGAAGTGGACTGGAGCTGGGCAATAAAGAAAGTATTAGTGTGCTACCAGTGCCACTCCTAGAAGTATTAGATGCCACTGAAGCAGGGGTGGCAATAAGAGTACTCTTAGAAAGCAAGGGGGTTTCCAGGACTCTAGAAGATATGAAGGCATATAGAGGTGAGGCAATTGTCACCACGGGCAAACTAAGAAGCTTAGGAGTGCCATGCATAAGCGATGATGGGGAGGAAATGACTGGCATATCAGGCCTCGAAGGAATTGATGAAGGGGATGCAGGGAGTGTAAAGGTAGGGATTGGAAACATTGTTTATAGGGGCTTTACACTCATTGGAGAACTGATATCTTCTTTTCCTCTTCCTTTTTCAGCCTTTAATCTTCTAGAGCCCAAGTGAGGCCTCTCAATTCCTTCCAGAAAGGAAGAAGCTGGCATTGAAGATGTAAGTGACAGGCTAGTTGTTTCTGTATTTCAAAAGAAAAAAGTATAAAGGCAATGCTGATGTGAGGGATATGAGGGGAAACATTATTAAGGAGTAAAGAAAGTTACCAGCAGTTGCAGTAGTGGTAACTGGAGAGCTACGAAGAGTATGGTGTTTTGTAACTTGACTTCTTCTTGTAGCCTCCTTTTGTGTTGCCTTAATAGTAGCAGTCTTCTCCTTCAAAAATTTCTATTGCCTCTTCTTCTATGACCTTTGGAACACAAGGACCTCCTTGGCCTGGGCAGCTGTTTCGTGAGCAAAGTCCATGATAAGTTTGGCAGTGGGATAGATTGGCATTTTCCTTATTTTTAAGAGAGACTCTTCTTTTTTCTTCTTACTTTTCTTCTTCTGAGGAGACCCCAAGTGCCTCTTCCACATGCTCAAGTTTTATTTGGGTCTTTCTCTTCTTCAACTCCTGTTGTTTGCCCTTTAATGTGAATTGAGCTTGTGCTCACTGAGGGGAGGCCTCCTACAAAGCCCTTGTGCCAATAAAAAGAAATACTGAGAGTGATAAAGGTATAAAATGAGGGGAAGAAAAGAAAAAGAAGGGGCAGAGCATGTACCTTTCTTAGTGGCAGCCCTAGTTATTCTAAGTGTAGGGGCTGAAACAGCAGGAGTGGAAACAATGGTGATGCCAGCCTCTATGGTTTTGGCTTTCCCACCTTGGGCTGGCATATCCAACTCTTTCAGTAAGACCAATGTGGGAGTGCCAAGATGCATCTCCATGTTGGCTGACCACCAATCTTGAAACCTTTTCATGACCCCACTATGACCAATGAAAAGTACAAATTCAAAGCTAGTGGTATCCTTTGAAACCTTGATTATTGTTTCATTTAGCCTGAGCCTTGAAACCTTTAAGTTTCTGGTGTCGAGGTCAAAGTTTGAGAGGTTGCAGAGAGGGATTGGGATCCCCAGAGTAAGCCTAAATTTCCTTGCGAATTGGGCAGGGTAGTAAGCCTTAACAATGCAATTGTAGGCCCTGCGGTTTAAGGTACCATTGAAGCTCCCTCAAAACTCAAATTAAGGCCCACATCTCCTTATGATTAGGCCTGGAGCAAGTGGTGTCAGACAAGAAGGCTCTCAACCTTGCTGGCCCAAGATTGGCATCAAAGGGGCAGAAGAAGGAATGGCGAATGGAGGTTAGAAGATTGTGGAAATAAGAAGAGTAGTAGGTAAAACTAAAAGCGTTTAAGGAAACTATGGCATAATTCTCTCCATAAGTGGTGGGCTTTTGCACCAAGAATTTCAATTAGCGAGTGTGAAAATCAATGAAGTAAGCAAAAATCTAGAGTTAGAGAACCCAAATAGGGCCTCATTGATTAAGCTCTATAGGCCTCTCACAAAATTGGGAACAAACCCTATATACATGACATAAAACATAAGGGCCAGGGCTATGCTCTTCTTCGAAGCCAGAGCCTTGGCAAGAGGGACAAATTTGGACATTATTTTTTGAGAAGAGGTACAAAAAAGAAATTTGCAAAGCTAGTAAAGAATGAAAGAAAATAATTCTTGGTCTGTCACAAGACCTTTCTTATTCTTGGCTCCTATGAATTCACTATAAGAAGGATTCGAAGTAGGAATAGAGTGAGAGTCCTTAAGGTCTAGGTAATTTGGGCCAAAGGGATCACCAATTGGTGAAAGCCCTAGAAAATGGCACATATGCAGAACGGTGGGGGCCATCATACAACACCGAAATTGGAAAAAGTTGAAAGCTAGGTTCCAAAAATAAAGAGCAGCTAGCAGGAATAAGAGAAGGGTCTTCAGGGATTATGAACCTGGAAAGACGGAGAGCATCAAGAATGCAAAGGTCCTCTAGCTCTTGTTCTTTGGCTGAAACAACCCTATCATACCATTCCTCCTATTCTTTCTTCAATGTGGGCCAACAGCGATGAGGTCGAGAGGTCTTCCAACCTCCTCAATTGAACTTCCCTTCATAGAGAAGGTAGTGATCTTCTAAGCGAGGATACATGGAAGGAAGTGAGGTAGGAGCCTCTATAAAAATAGGGCCAATGACATACTCCCCTTTCGCTTTATTGCGAGAGATGAAGTACCTCCCATCGATGACACTCTGACCCTTTGGTTCTTTGTACATGGCTATCTCTTTATCTATATATCTCTTCAAAGCCACTGAGGGACGTAGGCGTTCGGCGACTGGCAAATTTACAGAGGAAAAACAGCCATCGATAAGAGTTGAAGGAGGGATTCAAGAAGTGAGAAGTAAGGGCAAGGATGAGCAAGAGCTGGTGTAAGAGCAGGGGTGAGTATGAGTAGGAGTGAGAGTAAGAAATGAGTAAGTGGGCTTTATACCTTCATGTGTAAGTTTCCTATTTAATCAGATAGGTCAAGTAGTTTCAAGCTATCTGAGTTTTATTTAACCTATATGGAGTCAGGAACCATTTAACATTTTGAGGGTCTTGGGAGTAAATTTTTGGACTTTCTACCAAGTAAATTTCCTTCGAATGAGCATTTTATTATCTCTAGAAGAGAGAAAGTGTGCTTCAAAATACCTGACTTGGCCTCGAAATGAATGGGTTGTTTCAAAGCTAGTATTTGCTAGTATGTTAACAAGTTTGATTAAAAACATGCATATTAACAAGTACAAACCATGTAATTAGAAGAAAGAAACCAATATTTTATTAAATAAATAAATAATTACATTGAAGGTCCTACTTGAGTACATTCTCAATTTCATAAGAATAAGGAATGGAAAAGGTTACAAGGTCATGGAAATTATTCCAACAAAATTCGATGAATGTATGTTCTCTCTCCAACCATTCCTCAATCCTATCTAATTGGGGCCGTTCTAGCTGGAGTGCCCTTATTTAGAAGAAAAGTTGTTAGGCCTTTATCACAAACTCCATCTACTTTAGTGCTTTCTCCACCTCGTCCATCCCATCCATGTCAGCATCTTCTCTATATGCTGAGTCATTGTTCTTGAAGTCTTCGTAGTCTTCAAGGAGATTCTCTGCTTCATACTGGGATTGAATATGAGTGGCATAGATCTTTTCTAATGATTCGTTGGCGGCCAGGGCATTTTTATGCTAGTTAAGCAGGAGATGAAGTTGGTCCAAGAAGGTGTGGAGTTTTGCTGAGCCACTAGATTAAGGATATGGCTTCGAGAGACTATATCACAAGCCCAAAGAAGGTTCTTGTGAGGAGTGTTGTCTCGAAGCACTTCGAAGGTCAAGTGGGAGAAGGCAACGAGTAGAGTTTGGGCTTTATACTGTTGATAAGCAGTGGGTAGAGTTGGGGCTTGGTATGGGGCAAAATGCAGGTCTTTGAACATGGTGAGTTTCAATTCTTCAATCTAGTTAGGTTTATGAGCAAGGAGAGGTGTAGCTGGGTCCATTCCAAAAGAAGGTGGAAATTGGGGCTCCTTTACACACTCTAGCCAGTTAGAAGAGCAGAGTTTTGCCTTCTTGGCCAAGTGTGAATGAATCAGTCCTAGAGCTTTTGGGAGTCTTCCGCACTATTTTTATTGGCAGAGTGGAGGTATACCATGCTGAAAGTAAGTTGTCTTCCAGGCATCGAAGGCGGTCAAATGGTACGTAAGGATATACCACTGAACTGTAAGAAGAGGAAAAACCAAAAGTGGGGTCATCGAATTCAACAAATTTATGATGAATTCGCTCCTTTGTCTGAGGTTGGGACGATTTTGGCTAGGTAACCCAACTAGTAGCTTTTACAGAGGAAGAGACAACCTCATCCTAAGCAGAGACCTTTAGGGCAAATGAAGAGCCTTTGAGGTCCATGTGAGCAAGCTTTTGCTCTAAAGGTGTGTACTCTGCGTAGGCCTCCATGATTTGTATAAATTGAGGAGGGTAAGTATGGCTAATAAATGCATGTGAGTTTTTTCAAGGACGACCATTATTGTTCAGTGCCTTTTTATATGCTTGATCAATGAAAGAGAAGGGTTGGTCAGCCATAGAAGAAGTATTAATCTCTTCGTTTGCTCAGTTAATGTAAGTAAAATCCAAAAGCAAAGGGGAGTTCAATGTTCTAGTTTGTGAACGTTGCTTGAAGACGGTTATACTTCTAGAACAATTAATTACCATGCACGTTCCAGAACGTAGGTAGTGTGTTGCAAGAAAAGCATAGTGCATTGGTCCACTAATATCACCAAGTCTTGGTTATATTAGTGCGGCGGATAATGTTTGCCATATATTTTGTATTAGCCAATCACAGCTTGACACGTGGTCCATCAGGGGTAATTTGGACAATTAGCAAGGATTTCCAATCATCAAAGGACACGTGGCAAGTTATATCAATAGCAATGGATTTGCGAAGTACTAGAACAATCAAAAGGAGCAAGGTGACGCTGCTAAACGGTTCTTGGAGGTTTAAATTCAAATTCAGGAGGGAAGCCTAACTGCAAGAAGTGACTTACTAGAGGCAAACTGCTTGGAGCCATGTTTGATGTTTGTGGAGGTTACTTCGTCAGTTAGCAGCCATGTTTGAGGTTTAAACGGTTCTTGGAGGTTTAAATTCAAAAGGAGCAAGGTAACATGGCTAAACGGTTCTTGGAGGTTTAAATTCAAATTCAGAAGGGAAGCCCAACTATAAGAAGTGACTTAGTGGAGGTAAACTACATGGAGCCATGTTTGATGTTTGTGGAGGTTACTTCGTCAGTTAGCAGCCACTTCAATAGTTACTAGTTACTTCGACGGTTGTCACCAAAGCATATAACTAGAGGAGAAAGCTGATAGTGAATGGACCCAGAACCAGATCCAGATCTAGATCCAGAAACCGGTCTATTTTACTTTACATCTTTTCCAGTTATTTACTTTTCAGTTCTTTACCTTCCAGTCCTTTACTTTCCTGCACAACATTTCAGTTTCTTAAGAGTAGTTCTAAGTTAGTCTGTTCATTGTTGTAATCCCCTTCGAAGCTGTAGAAGTGCGAATGTACAATTGTAAACACTCGTTTACTTAATGAAATCTATTTTTCTGATACTGTTCTCTCCATCTTTCTTTTGCTGTTGTGATTAGTTTTCCAAATTTTCTCCTAAAAACAAGCCATCAGTAAAAGTTCTCTTTATTGAGGCTAAGCATTTTGAAACAATTGTCTGATTAATTTGTTGGCATTTATTATTTATATAAGGACTTATTGATCCTTGCTGGCACACTCAAATTACATTTTTAACCTTTGAAAGCCAATAAAGCTAACAATATGCATATATTTCCTTAAAATAAAGGGCAAATTACACTTACCTCCCTGATGTTTCTGACAAATACAGTGACCTCCCATGTGGTTTCAATAATTACAAAAACCTCTCATATTATTGTTGACAATATAAAAATTTCCCTAATCCGTTAATTTAGCACAAACGCTATTACTTTTCTATCTAAAATAGCCATATTGCCCTTTTGAACTAATAAACTATTTAAATAAAAATTTTCACTCACCTCTTTTGAGATTTTGCACTTACCCCTTTGAACTAATAAACTATTTCCCCAATCCATGCATATTGTAACTTTACACCCTAATAGTTTAACCCTAATAATTAATAAAATATTTATAAGAGACTTATTTCAAACTATATAAATAACGAAATATTTATCAATTTTAATTAATACATTTATTATTGAAATTTCTTTTTTCTTTTCTTTTTCTAGCAATTTGTCCTACTTATTTATTCATATGTAAGAAAATTATTTAACCCTAAATTGTTAAGATATTATTAACAAATTTTAATTTTTACATTTGAGTCATTAAATTTCTAATCGATGCATATTTAAAATATAAAAAAAATGCATGTTATTCTTACATGATTAAAAAACTTAAAAAATAAATATCGAAGTAAAAAAAATCTAATCGCCTCACAATAAATTAAAATTAATTAATAGGGAATGAAAGATTAAGAAATAATTTGAGAATAACAAACAATTCAAACAATTTCTCATTTCTTACACCTAAAAATAAAATTAATCTTTACTTGAATGAAGAAATTATTTTAGAATACTAAACGACTCAATTAATTTATTGTATGATACTTAAAATATATTTCTTAATCTTTATTTTTCTCATTTAAACTATTTTTATTAGATTAAATCCTAAAATTAATTTCTCACATTCATTAACGGTTAAATTTTCACTTTGTTTTTAATTTCGCACCTTTATTTTGTTCTATTATTATTTATAGTGAAATATTATTATTTAAATTATCTAATTTTACTTCTTTTGTATATCTAATACTTATATAATTTTATTGACAAGACTGAAAAATCAGACTCTAATACTAATTTGAACACACAACGAAATAAAATACTTTCTAAAGAAAAAAAAAATATAAATGTAATTTAATTACCCTATTCAATATATATGAAATTATTATTTATTTTTCATAATTTTTTCAAAATGTAAATATAATTTCTTGACTTCCACAACAAGTTTTTGAACATTTATAAACAAAAAATAAAATAAAAATTCAACCATTAATGAAGGTGAGAAATAAATTTTAAGATTTAATTTAATTAAAATAGTTTAAATGAAATAAATAAAGATGGAGACATAGATTATAAGTATAATACATAAAAAATTAATTGTGTGTTTTATTATTCTCAAATAATTTCTCCATTCAAGTAAAGATTAATTTTAATTTTAGGTGCAAGAAATGAGAAATTGTTTGATTTGTTTATTATTCTCAAATGATTTCTTAATTTTTCATTCCCTATTAACTAATTTTAATTTATTATGAGGCTATTAATTTTTTTTTTACTTCTATTTTTATTTATTTTTATTTTTTTAATCATGTAAGAAATATTAACCTTCATTTTTCTTTAAATATGCATCATTTAGAAATTTAATGACTCAAAGATAAAAATTAAAATTCGAGAATAATATATGGTTGAGAAAATAAATAAGTAATGCAAATTGTTGGGAAAAAAATAATAGGTAAAGCACCAATAAATCCCAAATTTAGGTCTTACAAACCATTTAGTTCTGCCTTTTTTCTTGTGGACTAATAAGTCCCATTTCAATGTAAAAGACCCTTTTGTACATTGGCCCATATGTTCAAAAATGTAGGGGTAGAAATGAGGTTTTGGTGATGTGGATTTCAAAAATTTGTACAAAAGCCAACTGTATAGTTTTTGGGATTTCCCTCCCAATCGATCATTTCGGAAGAGATGTAACTAGCAACGTTTGGAGATGACAATGTTACTCTGTAAAATGTTCTTACCGTGTTCAATGATTTAGGAATGTTAGGTTGGTATTCGTAGTTGCCCCAAATAACATTTGGATTCCCTCCCAAACCCTAGAAATACAACACTCCACTTGATGTGTTGTAACATTGAACTGTCAGAAGCGAGTGAGGTTGTGTACGTTTGCTGTCTTTGTTGTCGTTCGCGTTGTGACAGCTGGCGGTGTGAAGTTAACCACCACCCATCATCGGCGCCTTTGATTGTGTTGGTGAATGATGCTATCGGGTGTGTGTCATCCGACTTCTTATTCCACTAGTTATTATGGATCATTCTCCTCAGGGTGTTTTGAGTATATTTGGTTAATATTAAAGTATGTACGTGTATATGATGGGTAGTTAGCGATGTTTGTTCTTTGTCTTTGATGTTGCTTGAACGTAATTTTTGAGTGGGTTTGGATTTGCGAAGGGGTATAGTCATGGAATCTTTGGGTTGCATTCTGGGTAGTGTTACATTCAGGGAAAACCTCTGTTTGATGTTGCAGTGGTGTGTGTGTTGTGTGATCATAGATTGCTGTCAATTTGATGGTGGTGTCATTGTATAGGTTGTTGTGTTAAGTTGTTGTATTGACACAATGCGTCCCTTGTTTTTACAATTGTATACGTGGCTGCAATTTTGTGGAGTGCATATAATGTCCATGTTTGGGTAGTGGGATCTTTATTCGTAGTGTCGGTAAGTGGTTGGGTTCTGTTTTTACTGTAGTTACGTAATAATGTGTGACCTGTTCACGGAATGCATGTTAGTAGACATTACATGTAGTGGTACGTCGATTGTTT